TCCCAGTGTACAATCTCCCTTCAACGCGTGCCGAATGAAACTGATTAGATTAATTGCGGGGGATCTGCGACCGAGATTCTGATTGGAGGGCCAACTGCACCTGGCGATTCGACCGTCGACATGTTCGAGCACGTTTTGGAGTGATAAGAGTTACGGGGTTCCGCTGCATACCTGACGAACCTGGGGCCACATGTCCTCCTGTCCTCCGTCTCCATCTCACCTGCTTACGTAAATCGTGCGACAATCCGCCGCTCAGCGTGTCGCCAATACCGTTATTGTGCCAGAACATTGATTCGCGCCCTACCACCCTACCTTCCACTCTCCACCCACCACCCACCGCCCGTCGACCAGCTGCGTCAACTGCGTCAATGTCGTAAAACTTTCTCACGTAAGTCAAAAACCGAGAGTCCCGCTATCTTGTCAACCGAATCTCGGCTTATCCTTTGTTGCAATTGCAGCTCAGCCCCCAAAATCTCATAATACCGATACCGAAGGTATAAATACGAATTTATGGCGGCGTAAAAAATGATTTTTAACGATCCTCTGGGGGGGTTAATGAAGTTATCGCATGATCGCCGATCGGACAAACAAAAAACAAAACATTCAAACATTCGCACCGCGATTGTTTACCCAAGATCAAGGAGGCGGTTGCCGCCCCCTCAGGCACCACGCCCACACAACTGAACAATGGCCAGAGGATTCTAAAATTATGCTCGAATTTATCAATGCTGCCAAAACAGTGACGACGGCAAATGTCTTTGTGACGTCAATGTCGAAAAATCACATGGGCGCTGGCATATATTTGGAGGCGATTTCTTCTGTTGCGAGGCGATAGGGGTGCGTATGTGGAGGATTGACCCACTATACACAAACACATATTATATCTTGAAAACTGTTTGCTGCCGGCAAACAAAATTACGCAAAACTTGGGGGCGTTCTGCTCCACAGCTGTCGATTACCGCGATAATATTCTTCTTCCGAGGAAGCTATTTTAAAAAACATTAGTCTGTGATTTCCGTTTTTATTACCGGATGTTTAGTACTTTTTTTGTTTCAAAATTTGTAATTTAATATACAATGACAATTAATGAGAAATATATTATGATGTGATTCATAAGCTATGATTTTGCTTTAAGATTTGCTAACAATTAAATCTCTAAGGGCCGGTTTCTCGAGTGCCGGCTAACATTTCTCGAACAGATAAAGTCCCTGCTAAGGGATTTTGGCTTTCTCGAGCATAAATGTGAGAGCTAACTTTGACAGGGACTCGGAGTCCCTGTTAAGCGTTTTCGGCTCGATAGAATGACAGCTGATTTCCCAAAGCCAACTATGAAGAAGAAACGAAATCACAGTTGACTTTTCCTTTGAATTATACCCAAACAGCTGGTGAAATAATCTAAGCATGCCATTTTTTGCACTTTACAGTGCGTTAACAGCACTCTGTAATTGTTTCTCGTTCAGATAAATTAAAGCAGTCGAGAAAGCGGATTTGCTTTTACGAACAGTTTATCTGGTCTTTAAGTTTTTCGAACAGATAGCTATCAGGGACTTTGACAGGGACTCGAGAAAGCGGCCCTAAGCTATTTTTCTTGGATAGAATTTTTCATAATATTATAATATTTTTAAACATAAGTGTTTAATTAAAATCGATTAAGCAAAATTCTTAAAAAATATACTTTAGTTCTTATTTAAATTTTTATTTACAAGATTCATTAGAACATATTGTGAATCCAATTCAAACTAGCAGCATGAAAAGGCAAGCAAAAAAGTTCCAGTTGTTTGCCATTGGAGACAAAAAGAAAGTTATCGCAAAACGTGATAATCGCACGCATGTGACTATCATATCACGTTTTCGCTTTCATAACCTTTCACTTAGTAGTGTTCCCGAATTATGTGGCCTAGCAACAAACTTTAGTGTGTCGCCAATCTCAATTATTGGGGAAGGAAATAATAAACCGCTTGAACATATGGAGCACTGGTAACAATAACAACATCATATACCACACTCATACCCCTTGAGTTCGTTCTGGGGACGAAAGTGACTAAAACGCTTATAGTATAAGCCCGTCCATTTAAAAATAAGTGCAAAAACAAATTGATCATTAAAAATGGCGATTTACTATACTTTTATCTTATCAGTTACGTATTGAATACAACTTGTGGTGACGGGTCGGAAAATAAACTCAAGGTCCGCCAAGGAGAACCCTTCTTTCCACGAGGAAGACCCACTTTCTCGTCAATAGCTCCGCTTATCTTAGTCTTATCACTAATTAGTTGTTCCAGGCGGTATTTGCATGGCTTAAAGCAAACGCTTTTGGCTCAGATTGGCTGGCAACCCGTCGCTTTGACTGATGGAATGGCCGGAACACGAGTGTGTCTTTGTTATTATCGTTTGCGGCGCACTAACTTCGGACCAAAAATAACCTGGAATGTTAAAAATAACTTGTCGCCTTTGCTAAAAATACCAGCGGCAACAATAACACATATTCTGCATAAATATCAACGCAAATAATTGTTGGAAAATTTTGTATCAGCAGTTCTGTTTGTTTTCAGTTTTCTTTATTTATCTGTGGCTTTTATATTGGCGTTATCAGTACTTCCAAAGAAAACAAAATTTAAGCGACAGAGACTGCGACTGAAAGTGCCGTTGTTTGCTTGCCACTTGATGACTTGATGGGGGGAACTACCGGACTGACATTTCCTTTTATGGCCAAGGAGACGGCTAAAATGGGGGAGTTGAGTTTTTATGGTAAGGTCGTTAAATGTGTTAAGCGATTGCGATTTTGATAGGGATTTCTGGCTAAACGAAACATTGGCAGGGAGGTGATAAACACCTTGAATTGGGTAAGTAATCACTGGATATTTTAGAGGACGGATATTATTGGTTTATTACATTTCCATAAGACAATCTCCTTTGCAATAAATGTGTAGTTACCCATTTTCGTTATGTTATGAAATGTAATTTATTTTAATTTTGGCTTAAACTCATTTGTACTAATTTTTGCAACTACATTGCTTTAGATAATCGCAAAAATAAATAATTTATTTATACCTATCTTTTTCAATGATTATTATGATTATTTGCTGGATTTATTATTATTTTTCACTAAAAATCCCTGTGCTAAGAAAGTAAGTTGGAATATCCGAAAAGTCATATGGCGAAAATCCCCTTAACATTTTCGGATACATTTTTGCTTGCAATTTGCAACCAAAGCTAATAAATCAAATGCATAATTCGCCGAAAAAATCTTCATAAACTACTTGGCTAATCTAAGTCAATATACCGTGAGGAATCCCCTAGAATTGTATATATTTGTACAAGCAATTGATGGAAAGAATCTTTTCATTACACTTGGCTATTCAATAAATTTTCAAAATATTTCCCGTTTCGGGGAATTCGATTCGAAAGGTGTTTCGGCCAATCACTTCCCCGTACATTGTTCCATTGTGGGCCGCCGCCTGCAAAAGGTAAACACAAACCGAGATTTGCTTAGCGGTTTCTATAAATACGCGCACATAATTCGCACATAGCCAAAGGCCAGCGGCAAACTGCGCATTTGGCCCAGGTTCGATTTCATTTCGGCATGGAATTGGTATTGGAATTGGAATCGAAATTGGCATGGCCCAAATCCAGTTGAGCAAGGCCAAAACGGAGGCTTATCAACGACCGGAGCGTAACCCCAACAACAAAAGGTTGTCTAGCCGTGCTAAAGCCGAATGTTGCATCAGCCGTATCATGTCGATATGGCTCAATCAATTCGATTGATTCGATGGGCCATAGATAAGCCACAAAGAGGGGGTGGTGGTTGGTTCACCCCTCCGAAAACTCCCCCTCAGACTTTGGACCGCGCCAGCGAATAATCATGTGAGCGGAATACGGTGGCAAATGTTCCGCCCCCAAGAGTGATTCATATGGGATGGACTTTGGACTTCCGACAGACAGCGCATTCTGCAAATATAAATAGGTACCAAATCTTCTGCTGTAACCATCTTATCAAGAGTCTCTGCATCCGCCAACTAAGATATCATATGCCAGCCATATATGGTCTGATATTATAGAACATCTTTCAGTCACTTTCGCCCGCGACACGCTTCCATTACTCATACGCCACGTAATCGCCGGAGAAATCTTATCAGGTGGGCGAATAGGGGTGAGGGGCATTTGATTTCAACGGTAATTTCATCAATTCCAGCGGCGATTAACGGTCGCTTCCATTTTGCGATAGGTCAGTGAGAAGGTGGCGTAGCGGACGCTTGTGGACGCTAAGTGGATTGCGTTCTGAATACATTTGTGGATCATTTTCATAAGTCCGCTACGCTATACGCAAGGCTATATCGGATGTATGGAGATTTGTGTAACGGGCCTAAAGAAACTCGAGAAACGGTCGGTGCATAAATATGTATTCCTGATCAGGGTCAATAGCGGAGTTCTGTATAAACAGCTAGAAAAAGTGTGACACCATTCGCGGGCTGCAGTTACCAAATTTGTTATGCAGATTAAGGAACATAGCTGCACTTTCTTGGTGTTCCAATGCAAATACTGCAGCATTAAAATTTCTAATTTTTTACAGCATTGAGTCTTTTTACCTTTACCTAAATATTCGTATTAATTGCACTCGAAACTCCCGTATTATTATAGAGTATCCTGTAGCTGAACTTCTTAATGAAGTATATATAGCACCAACTTGTTATTTATTCGTCAAGTGCTAAGAACTGAATCGATCAGATCAGATAACATCTTCATCTGTGCCAGTTTGCGGCGCAATTTTAGCATTTTATGCGCATGCTGATCGAACCGACAATCTGGCGACTCGAAATTAGCATTGGAACGTTCTATAACAGTAAAAACTCGAGAAAGCCATTTCCTTTGTTCCACCCCCTGGCGGAACCGACCACCAACCCACCCAATCTCGAATCCAATCCGCTGTTTTCTTTTTTTTTTTTTGCGTTGTTTCTCAACTGAATGCATTTTGAATCGGGACTCGGAGTGAATCGCTAAGCTATGTATACAGGTGTACGAGTATGCGTATGAGTGATATGGGTGGGTTATGGGTGTACGTGAGTTGTGTGTGATCTAACCTAAGGCAATGCAAGTGATTTCAATTCCAATTCGGAGGTTTCCCGGTTTAGTTTCCTAGTGCTGGCAGTCGGGGGTCCAGGGGTTCTTCAGGTTGGCCAGGCGCAGCTGCTCCAGAGCGATCTCATGGGCACGGAAGTGCTCCCTGGTGGCCTTGTCCAGTTCGCTGGAGGATTTGGATGAGCTGTAGCCGGCTTTCAGTTGGGAGTTCGGGATGGCAGGGGAGAGAGGCTGAAGCAGGGGCTGCTTCAGTGGCACTAGCGTCTGCAGGGGCACCTGAATCTCCGCCGGTTTGGTGGTGTAGCGCACCAGGAAGGGATTGGCTGGCTGCTCGACCGGCTGATTGGTCTGGATGCGCAGGAAGAAGCCATTCTGCACCTGCTGCTGCTGGGTCACAATGCTTGGCTGAGGCTGCACCTGGTTGTTGATGATCTTGAACTGCTCCGCCTTGCGCAGATACTCGGGAGTGTCCTTCTGGAAGCTAGTTATCTGGGTGGCCTTCAGCTGGAGCTGCTCCTGCTTCTCGCTCTCCAGGCGCAGGCGATCCTCCTGCTCGATCTTCAGGCGCTCGGCCTCCAGGAGGCGCGTCTCCTCGCGCAGACGATCCGCCTCCAACTGGCGCTCCTTTTCGGCCTCCTTCTCCTCCTGCTTGCGCATCTCCAGCTCCATCAGACGTTCCCTGTCCCGCTCACGCTCCTCCAGGAGAATCATGTCCGCAATGTCGGCCACCTTGTCCTCGGCCTTGATTTTGGCCTGGCTCAGGAGGAGGAGGTGCTGTTCGCGGGCCAACTTGACCTCGGGGGTGTCCTGGATGGGCTGCGGTGCCTGGGGTTCGGCAATGGGGCTCTTGAAGATTGCCTGAGGAGCGGACAGCAGGGGCTGCTGCTGCACTTCAATGGGCTGGCGGAGAATGGCCTCGTTATACAGCTTTTGGTGCTCCTCCCTCGCCAACTTGACCTCTGGTGTTTCCTGGATGGGCTGTTGATCGGGGAAGGTGATGATGGCCTGCTGAATGGGCGTGGTCTTCAGGATGGGTTCCTCGGAAGCAGCAGGCTGACGAAGCAGCGCTTCGTTGAATAACTTGAGGTGCTCCTCGCGAGCTCTTTTCACCTCCGGCGTTTCCTCAATGGGCAGAGGCTGCTGATCTGGGTAGCTGTTGGTCTGGAAGATGCCCTGGATTTGTGCTGGCTGGGATTCGTAGGTGGTAGTGGTAGTGCTCTTGACAATGGGCTGGGTAAATGGCTGCTGAATGCCGGGAACGGTCTTCAGGATGGCGGTTTCCTGGGCAGGCTGACGGAGCAGAGCCTCGTTGAATTGCTTAAGATGCTCCTGGCGGGCCAGTTTCACCTCGGCGGTTTCCTCCACGGGCTGAGGAGCAGTTTGCGTGGCCGTCTTGAGCAGCAGGTTGTCCTGACTGGAAGCAAACTGTCCGTAGGAGTGGGTCTGCGGGGTATCAATGCGGCTAACCACCTGGGGGGTAGATGTTTTCACCAGAACTGGCTGCTCCAGCGGCATCTTCTCCTCCTTCTTCAACTGGTACTGGTACTCCATGGACTGACCTAGCAGCTGCTGAGCCTGTTCGGCGCGTAGGACCTCCAGCCTGGCCTCGTTCCAGATCCGCAGCTGCTCATCGCGGGCACGCTGGACCTCGGGAGTCAATCCGGGAACGGCTTCAAAGGCGGCGAACTTGACAATCTGTTCCAGGGGTTCAAACTGGGCCAGCAACTGGGGCGTGGGCTTCAGTCCCTGCTCCTTCAGGCGATCCAGTTCGAGACGCATGGCCTGGTAGCGCTGCTCGCACCAGGCGCGGAACAGGGCAATCTGTTGGCTCTCCTGCTGCTGCTCCTGGAGTCCCGAACGGATTAGACTAGAGGTGGACAGATCCCGGATGCCGTTCAGCGGCTCCGGGTAGTTGTAGGGCAGTAGCCTTTCTGCCCCCGTTCCATCGTAGTAGCGAACGTATCCCTGGGCCAAACCACTGACCACGGGGAACTCGCCTCTGGCCGGGGAATAGGCCACCAGTTGCGCATGCGGCTGACTCGTGCGGATCACGGAGAAGGCCCTCGCCGAACCCAGGGCCAGCAGGCCAATTAGGAAAAGCCGCATCTTACTAAGTATATATTACTTGGGGTTTTCGCTTGCGATGAGTAACCTTCTTGGGTAGCGACTTGTAGGACTTCCGGGGCTGCTTGGCTCCAAAACTTCGCTACAACTTCGACTACTGCTGCTGGAAGACTGTTGTGGTTGGCCCTCTCCACCAAGGGTTTTTATACCCGCATCTCGGCGAGTGGAAAAGAACCGCAAGTGGAAGCGGTTGACGGTGTCCTTGAGCCAACGGCCGGCCCTACAGGATGCGTCAATAAATATTCTGTTGCCCTAGGTCGCTGGGATTCTTTATCTCGAACTTAATTGGCCACAGACTTCTGGCCTGGACTCCTCCTTCCCCCTTTTTCCCATCCAAAACAGGACCAGCCTTCGCTTGGCTTCTTCCGTTATGCTTCAAGGTTAAGCCGGACTTTATTTTTAGCCTGCTGGGCTGCTGGGAATTTATGGCCCTTGGACTGCAGGCCTGGTTTCAACGAGTGAAGGGTCGCCCATCGCCCATCTCCCATCGATTCATCAATGACACGCTCTATGCTCGGGACAATTATTTAAATTTGTCAAAGAGGCTCAATGATCGCACTTATGTGGCTGCCCCTTCCTGCTTCGATCAGCCGGGCTACCAAATATGGCCAGCAGGAGTTAATTTATATTTAGTCTTGGTCATTTTGATCATTTTTGTACAGTCGCCGTCTGGTCGCGCCTGCAAATCGAACGGCAGGGAAGGATCGGATGAGGGGGGATCAGTCACTCGATATGGCGGCTCTGGGTGCCCCTTCTTCAGCTGCTTCCTGCAACCGGTTTGCCGATCCGACCGCCACTCAATAAATTCAAGTTAATTTCAGTCGGCGCCGTTATATGGCCAATGCAAAAGGCGCTGGACGGAGGCTAATGTGAATTAAGGTTAAACAATGTCGATCGCCGGCATTATATTCCCGCACATTTTTGTGGTTTTTTGGCTGAATTCGCTTTATATTTAAATCAACTCACAAAGAAATACAACATATATTCGATCGAGAGGCTCGATTGGAAGTAGAAAGAAGTTAAGGAAGGTGGGAATTTATTTATAATGGGTGGCTGATCCGAGGGGACAAACATCTGCTACTGAATCACATGGGTTCGGCCAGTTCAAACAAATTTGGAGATGTCTCAGCTTTGATGTATAACCAGTTTTGTGGGGATTTCATTTGGATCTACAATTTTCAATGGAATCGCAATCTTCTTTTTAAATATTTTATTTTCAAATTTCATTCAAAAATATTCTATAAACCCATTTATATCGTATGCAGTGACTATATATTTGCAAAACTGAAAATAAAAGCAAAGCTGATTATATAAAAAAAGTTTAACTTATATATAGAACATCATGGGCTACGGCTATCTCATTAGAACAGTAGCTTATCTTGCGACTGCTGATTATTTTCTTCGTGATGGTAATTTCCAGTCGGAAAAGAGTCATTCATTGATCACATGCTGGCCCAATTACCTGCTCCATTTGCTGGATTTTCACAAAATATTCACCTTGACAGCTTTAGAGGTTTTCAAATTTCGCACTCTGAGGTAATGGACGTACGTACCTCCGAAGTCACACGTAAGACTTGTCAGAAGGGGGGCCTCTCAACTTTCCCAAGCTGAAATATTTCATAACATTCCACTTCTTCCGGCCTATGCATATGGTGATTGTGGGGATCTGTTGCCAGGCGAAATGAAAGCTAACTCTAGTATAGATCTCTTTCTTTAACTGACCACAGTCACGTTGTCCATGTGACGTAGTTGCGATGATGAAGCTTCTGGATCATCATTTCTATGATCATCAGTCGATGAGAGTATCGTCGCCACTTGTTCTTCTTCCTTTTATTTTCATTTATTTTCTTTTTGGGGGTAAAGATCTGGGCGCGTGTGCGTCAGGAACAATTGATTCTTTAATGATTCTGTTGTCCGATCGCTTTGATATCAATGAATGGAAACGGAGGCACGTCCGCGCTAATTAAAGCAGCTCAAAGTGCTTACGGCCGGCTAGCCACGTTGTCGCTTATCTTATCTGCCGCAAAGAGCGATTTGCATATGGAACTCCGGCAAATGCGAATCGGTGGCGGATACGCAATCTGCGAACGCTGCATTCATCAGGTGTTAATTGGCCGTTGATTAGCGCGTCCCGGTGGTTCATTAAGATGTCTGAACATGGTGTGCCATCTCATCACGCCACTGAAAGTGCACTGGGAGAAAGTATTCGCTTGTTCTAAAATTAATTATTTCTTTATCTTTTTTTATGCTTAACTTTTTCAAAAAATTGTATGACAATTTATGGTAATTTTTTCTTTTTAAACACAACTTTATTATACCTTTTTTTAATTTCTTCCTGTGTAGCCGCTCGCTTTAAGCACGATTCTGCCTGCTTTTCCGGATCAGCTGTCGCCGGATCTTTGGTGAGTCAATAAATTCCGAGATCTCAAAAACACAGCTGCTTGGCAACGAAGAGCGAGGCAAAAGTTTATGGCCAACAAATGCACTTGAACCGCAGATCCGCCGAAAATTCCAAAACTCCAATGATATCAAGCTCTTCAGGTTATTCGGTGCACGCTGGGTAAATCACGTGCGAATAGCGGCCAAAAAATAACCCAAGACGTCATTTTAGCTGCGTGCGAATTTAAATTAATTTAACAGCGAAAACTCAATAACAGTCGAATCGACGGTTTGCAAACTGAATGAACTACGTTTTTGCTATTTTGATGTTTCTTTTAATCGCCCACCAACGTCAGCAATAAATGTATTTACCCCAAAGCAAATATTTTGACGGCTCACAAATAAAAAAGTGGAAAAAAAGAAGTCAAATAAATCCCCGAACAAAATTTCCGAGCAGCTTATGGAGGCTGAACTGGAGCAAGAGCTTACATTTTTCGCAAAGTTATTTATCATGGTAAAAAAAATTCTGACCACAAAAAAAAGGTATTTTTCAACTTCCCCAAAAAACCCAGTAAAAATCACTACGATGCGGAGCAGGAGCTTGAACTTCGCGAAAGGTTTTCCTCATAATTTGATGCGGCATTCGTTTTATGGAACCAACATCAAGGCCATTTATTTTCAAACCCCGATATTCTTTTTTTAAACTCTTGTACCCGATTCGGAGCACCGTCTTTGACGTCACATGGCCCCACATAAAGAAACGAGTTTTTGGGAACTTCCCGCGCATTCAGTTCCGTTTGAAGGGGCCAATAGATATGATAGATGTGGGGATAGTAATTATGCGCGTAATAAAAACATCAATTAGAGCGCCAACGCAATGACCTACACCTGGCACTTGGCCGGCCTGCAGTGGCCACTCATTCGCTGGTCGAACAACCGGACCACAGGTAATCACTCGAGCACCAACAACTTCAACGAGTGCCGCTAATAAATTTGCATTAATAATTAAGGCCAGCAGCCGGCTGGCGATTTTGGGCGTTCTATCATCTACAGTTAAATTCAAATTGAGTTGTTTAATAACCCCTCGTCTGACAACTTTGAGCCGGGCTTAGCACTTGAGTGGTTGTGCATGGAGGCCCCAAACACAATTGCTGCGGTTTTTCAAGTCTAAGCACGTGAGAAATGCGTAGAAATATTTCAGGATTTATTTCTGTTGTGCGTTGCAATTGTCACGCAAACAACTTAATTTCTCATGAAAAAATCACTTTGTTTATGTTTTGCTTTGACCGTCTATTCAATCGCTTCGCTCAATCTTATGGTTTAATTTTAATGTTTGCCTTTCAAATTAATTGGCCTAATCATGTTTCTGGGCCGTGACTTGTGAATTTAAAACTATTAACCTTTTTTCCACGACAAAAAAGGTGGAAAGATGTTAGAAATAATAAATTAAATTAAGCAACTAGTCAGGAAAAATTAAAGTTTAAAAAAATAAATGTTTGTCTCAGCTTCTATTAAGGGATTAAAATATCAAAATTATAGGTATTAATACTGAGGTATATGTAGGCTAACATTAATTTTCAGTATTTAAGCAATAGTTTTTAAAACAGAATTATTTATTTAGAATATTAATTATATTAAATAATTTGAAATTTTAACGAGCTTTTGGAGACTGTTAAGGAAACTATAGCTTAATAAAATAAATGGTTATTAATTTCAAAATTTTTGAGAAAGTTTCAAATTGAATCCCTGAAACCGAAAGTCAATTACCGAGAACAAGTGAATCACGTGCCGAGCCAAAACTGTACTGCCGAAAAACTGTAAAACAAAACATCTGCCCGGGTGATAATTGATGTGGGGTGAATATGACACTGTTAACAGCCAAAACGCGGTGAACGAACTGCGGATAATCAAAGTAAATATAAGTCAATTCCTGTCGCACCTCACTGACGCACTTTTGGTGACAATTGCGAAATGAATATTAACACCGTTTTGTTTAAAACATTTATTTTTCTGCATTTAATTTACCATTAGATTTAAACAATATTCAATCTTGTTAAGGGCAAAGGTGGTGGTGTCGGGTTGAGTTTGGGGCGGGGGGGGGGACTTGGGGAGATTGATTGGGGGAGTTTGGAGCCAACTACTTCAATACTTAATTGTCTACGCTTTCCACTTAGGCATACGAAATTTTTGCATTAATTACACACAGTAATTATAATAATAATAATCCTCATCTTCCTAATACATCATAATAATCAAATATATTATTTGTTCATATGGAAATCAAGACGTACACTATTTGCATATAGAGATATATCGATTTATGTAGAGACTCACGCGCACACACACACATCTATACAATTTGTAATGCTATTTGTAATTTGTAATTTGTAAATGTTCATAATCATTTTCTAACCTCTATATAGCGGTTTAAGTTTTTACACGATTTTTAACTTGTTTTTACTGTTTTCTTTTTCTCCGTTTGTATGGTTGTTTTTGGGCTTAACTGTAGGCGAGCTTAAAACTATTTAACTTAAACATTGATTTGATTTCGCGTGAATCGTCTTGAGGTTATAAATTCCATGTTCTTGTGATTCGAACCGATTTCGGGATCTATTTAACATTTCATAATCGTAGTCACAAAGGCCGAATAATGTACAAAGAATAGGATCCTCCAACGTATTACAAAAACTGTACATAATGGTATAGGTGACTTGGCAACAAACGAAAATCAAAGACACTTGCAGTGCAAATTGGAAATTCGCAACGAAATACTCTAATGGAGGGCCTTCTGCGTCATCTTCGAGTAGCGAGTAACAACAAACGAGATATAAAAATACGATACTAAATGGCTAAAGCCTTTCGAGCGGCGCCTACAGCTGCAGTCGGGCCATCAGCTTTCACATGATCGGATCGGGTCCCTGGCCCTCCAAATCGGATACCTGGCTCTGGTAGTGCAGCGCATCCTGGTACGCCTTCTTCACAGCCTTCCGCTCGGCCGGCTTGCGCGACTCCACGAGCTTCTGCTGGTCCAGCTGCTTGTCGATCCCGAGGATGTCCAGCTTGTTGGCCGGCAGCCACTGCCAGGTGCGCTTCACATCGAAGAAGAGCACCAGGAACACAATGTCGTCCAGGCAGTTCTTGCGCAGCGCCAGAACATCGGTGGGCGGTGCGGGCAGCGGTACTCCATTATACACGAATCCCTTGGGCGTCTTGGGATCCAGGATGAGGGCGGGATACCAGGGATATCCGCGGCACTTGGCCCACACCAGCTGCAGTGGCTCCAACGTCGGTTTCTGGCCGTGCGAGTGGTGATTGTGCCGCTCCGAGGAGGCAGACTTGTTGTTATTCGTCAGCGTTGTTGTGCTGGCAGCCGCCATGGTGTTTCTCCTTGCCTTAATGTTGTTCACCAGCGGCGAGGCATTGGGCGTGGCCGACCGCAGCTTGCCCGCCCTCTGCAGCAGCGGCGGTGGCGTGGCCGTCGAGCTGGTGGACTCGCTGAGATTGCTGCGCCGCTTGCCACGTCCCCGTGCCGCCGTCAACGAAGCTGCCGTCGGAGTGGGTGTGCTGCGCGTGCCCAGCTTCAACGCCTTGTTCTGCCGCGCGCTTAATGGCCGCTCCTCATCGTCGTCATCGTCGTCGCTGGAGCTGCCGCCGCCACTGCCGCCGCTGCTGCTGCTGATGGCCATGTTGCCGTTGTTGTTGCCCTGCACATTGTTGATGCTCGCGTGCTGCAAGTCCATGGCATCGGTGGTGCCCTCCTGCGACGTGGAGTCCCTTTCTCGTGTCAGCTAGCATCGCCGTCCGCATCGCCATCGCTCGCCTCGTCGCTGTCGAAGTCGGAGCAACTGCCCGACATGCTGAAGTCCGAGCAACTGCTGCACGGACTGCTCGACTGCGAGGGCGCATCGTCGCTGTCGCTCACGTCGCGCTGATTGTTGGCCCGATACACCCGGAAGCTGTCCGGGATTCGTTCGAAGGGCAGGGGCTCGGGAACGGGCACGGGCACCGCCGGATTGGGCGACTTCTTTGGTGACATGGAGGAGCTGTGCCTCACCTCGGGTATCCGACGATAGCGACCCGGCCTCTTGGGCGACTTGCTGGCCAGACTCGCGTTTAACTTGCTGTTCATGGCGAGGCCAGTGGAGGTTAAGCTGGCGCCTGCCGCCGATCCTGCTGACGACGAACCTCCCAGTCCAATGCCCGATGCTAGGGATCCACCGCCACCACTGCTGTTGTTCTGCGTCAACGCAAAGTTCGAGACTGTGGGCGCAGCGGAGGCCAGGACGTGATTCAGGGTGGCCTGCGCCACTGGAGGCCGCTGTGGCCGCCGTGGTGGCCGAGGATGAGCTGCCGCTGGTGGACTGAGTGTTCGATGACTGCGAATTGTGGTGCTCCTCCTTCACTGGCGTCGTCAGAGGTTCCGAAGGTCTCTTTCAGGGCAGCCTGCGACTTGCGCGTCAGCAATATGGCGGTTCTAGAGGGGATTTATGCGGGATTTGAGTGAGTTTATAGTTCTATAAGTATCTGCCCTCAATTTAATATGATTTAATATAAGATATAGAATAGAGCCCTGCATGAATGGATTAAATAAATTATTTTAAATTTTTTGTTTTATATGAATGAATTTATTAGAATTTGGAGTTTTATAGAATTGAAAGATTTTATATATTTCAGTCAGATGTTTGCAACGCAGTGAAGGAGCGTTCCGACCACATAAAGGATATATATTCTTGATCAGCACCAATAGCCAATCTTCTCCTTCCTCTTCCTCTTCCGTTTCTAAACGAACTATTCTCTCAGTTTTAAAGCTATCGCGATGAAACTTTCCCGAAATCTTCTTTCTATTGCAGGTAGTACATATGTCGGAGAAAGCCGGATCGGACCACTATATCTTAAGGCTCCCATAGGAATATTCAAACATATATAAGAAAATTATTGTTAATTTGTAGGAAGTAGGCGTTTTAATTCTTGACTACTTAAAAACAAAATTCAAAAATAGGAACCCTGAATCTGGAATCCCTGGAACTGTACCGAGTGAGTATTACTTTATCTGCAAGGGTATATAAGCTTCGGCTGGCCGAAGGTAGCTTCCTTTCTTGTTAATTTTGAGTTTAACAGAATTGAATAAATGAATGGCATGAATTCCAAAATATTTCAAACGACAATTTGCTTTTGAAGAAGAAAGGGCCAATTTTGTGATTAAATCTGCCTGAATTTTATTTATTTTGTTCTCAAAAGAAAGCAAAAAAAAAAATTAAAAATGAATGGCATCAAACGACAATTTCTTTTGAAGAAGAAAGGGCCATAATTTTGTGATTAAATCTGCCTAAATTTTATTTTTAAATTTAAATTCATAAAAATTATTCATTCATTCATTCAATTCAAAATGAATTAGAAAAAATAGAAAATGAATTAGAAAATTAATTAAACAAATTAGAAATTTCATGGCAAAAATTAAATGATTCACGCAGGGCTCTAATATAGAAGGGCAATTGAATTCGAAAGCTTGTTACCTCTATTTAGCAGAACTATAGCTTCTGCAAATCACACTTACCTCCGATTGATGCCCACGGGCGAGCTACTGTTGTTCAGACTTTTGATGGGGCTGCAGGGCGGCGTTTGGGTGGAGTTGAGCAAGTCCTTCGACACATTATCCTCGCCCTCGCCCATGGAGTCCTCGTCAGAGTCCTCTTCCTCGTCCTCCTCGTCATGGGCCAGTTCCATGTCCACCGCACTGCTGTTCAAACGTTTGCGGGTGCGCTTCTTAGAAGGCGAAGCACCCGACGTCTCCTCATCTTCGCTTTGGGATTGGTGGCCATGTGACGAGTGTCGCTGGAAAATAGCCAGGAATTAGTTATGGAACGACAAAAGATAGAGCCAAAACTCACCGCTGCAAATCTCGCCTTCTGGAGACTTTTGCGCATCCGCGTGATTTCCAACCGAATCTGCTTGATTTTCTTCGTCCGATAGCTGGGATTCTTCAGGACCTGCGACTTGTCCGCCAGGATGAGCAGCTTCTGGACAATGTCCTCGCCGGCCGGCGCCGCCAGCAGCAAGCGTAGCTCCTGTTCCACCTCCGCCTCCACATGATCGACGTGCGAGCGTTGCGTACGCTCCAGCAGACCATCCCGCTGCAATTCCTTTCGCAGCTGAACGAAGAGGGGAGCCGCCTGGTCGCGCATCCGGATGCCCGCGCGATAGAACACCGTGTCCTTGTTGTTGTACGCCAGGCAGTTCTGGATCATCAGATCGAAGTCAGCCTCCAGCTGCTCCAGCGAGCTGTACTGGCACTCCTTCAGCTTCGTTCGCATGGTGCCCAAATCCATGGGCTGCTTGACAATGTCCGTGTAGTCGGGCACCTCGCTGGTGTCCACCGGCTCGCGGAAGATCTCCATGCTGTCGCGCGCCTCCAGCGAGTCCAGCAGCTTGGTGAGCGCCGCCTCCAGCGGATTGAGCTGCAGCATCACCACCTCCTCGGACAGCCGAACAAAGGCCACCTTCAGCTTCTCGCGCTTGCGCACCAGCTCGCACAAAAGGCGCGCCCGCTCGAGGTCCTGCCGCAGGCACTGCCAGTACTTGAGCTGCCGGTACAGCTCGTTCGTGTCCGGCGATCCCTCGATGCCGTTGCCCTGGATGACGCCGTGGTTGTTGCCCTGGCTCTGCAGTCGCCGCAGCAGCGGCACTCCGTTGCGATAGTGCCGCTTGAGCGTCCAGTAGGCGATAATGCGATCGAGGAACTCCTTCTTGCGCTGCATCGTCACCATGGTGGCGATCTCCTGGACGCGGTCCGGCGGAATGGTCGGAATCAGCACCACGGGCGCCGTCGAGCGCTTCTTGGCCAGCGCCTTGCGCGCCTCGCGCATCTTGTGGCGCGTGTCCTCAAAGTCCGGCACGTTCATCTTCAGCTTGGCGTCCGCCGGCGTGTGCGAGTGGCAGTAGGCGAACTTCTGGACGTGCATGGACGAGTCGTTGTGGCCGTCCTTCACCGTGTCCATGGTCATATAGAGGCCCGCCTGCTGGGCGCAGGTGACGTGGAAGGCGGCGTAGCAGCTGTTGCGGTGGCACTGGATGCAGGCGCCCAGGCCCTTCTCCTTGCAAACGTAGCAGGTGAGTCGCCAGCGGGCAGGGGGAATGGTCTCAATGGAATCTAAAGAAGATTAACAGCAATTAATGGGGAATATAAAGGGATTTTTTAGATAATACCCACCTATGGGCTCCAGGAAAACCGTGTTCGCGAACCTCACTTCCGGAATCCACAGAGCACATACCACATGCGCCCACTGGCCGTGGTCCGTCTGCTTGAAGGCGCCGCCCGCATTCGGACAGAGCACACAGTTGACCGGCTTGCTGGGCGACTGCAGGCAGCGCCGGCAGAGCCACTGGCCCTCCGGGATGTAGGGCACGCCGTAGCAATCCTGGTGCACCGCCAGGTTGCACATGTCGCAGAAGAGTATCACGTTGGTGTTCTGGCACTCGCCGTCCAGGCAAATGCAGCACACCGCATCGTCGTCGACCTCGACGCCCGTCGGCGTGCCATTGGCGGCCGCCTGGAAGTGCGACTCCTTCTCCAGGCGGTCCATCAGCAGCTCCATTGTGTCAATGCCCACGGCATTTAGCCCGAGCCGCTGGCGCTCCTCGTTCATGTGCTCCAGCCAGGCGGAGTCCTCCTCGTCCACATCGTACTCCACCTCGCCGTCCAGCTCCTCCAGCGACTTCTCGATGAAGCGATAGTAGGCCAGCGGCCGCGGCGGCGCATCAGGCACTCGGTAGTCGGGAATCTCGGCCACCCGGGCCACGGGCACCTGGACGCGCGCCCACGGAGCGTTCTCCTCCAGCGGCGGCGCGTCGGCATTCAGTATGCAGCCCCTGGCCACCAAAGCGGCGAACTCCTCCTCCTCCACGAGCGGCAGGGCGTCGTCGATGCCCAGGCGCACGCTCTTGCCGTCGAGATTAAACGTCACGGTGGCCTCCTCCTCGTTGTAGGCCACCAGGGACTCGGGATTGGCAAACTGCCGCAGGGGGCCAGCTGCTCCTGCTCCTCCGGATGCTCCTCCTCCTCCGGCAGAGGAGCAGCCGTTCCTGGCCTCTGCTGGCTGCGCTGGGTGCTCCTTGGGCGGGCGGGGCGTGGAGTGATGGCCTCCGGAGCGGGAGCGCGCCTTCTTGCGGCTGGGCGTGAGCACCGGAGTGAGCGGCTGGGGATTGTCGTGGTCGTACTTCATCAGATGATACTGCAGGCCCATGATCGTCTTGTAGCTGCGGTCGCAGCCGCGGACGGGACAGGCGAACGGCGGCTGCGACTGCTGGCTCTTGACGCCCTTGCAGTACTCCACCGCATCGAAGTCGAGGCCCATTTCTAGGCGGGATCGCAGCTGGCTTCTCGGGGGGATTGGCGCGGCGCTGGTCGCGCGGTTTCGCGGGCACTGTGTCTACTCCGCGGCACAAGTGCGCGTACGTATGTGCATCCCACGGTGGTCGTCGCAGAGCGCGCGGTTTTTCCTGCTGTCCACCGTTCCTGGTCGATTTTCGTTGGCTTGTTGCAAATTTTTTAACAAATGTGCTAGGGATGGGCGAACGGGTCAGCTCGCCATGGCGATACTATCGGCGGGGGGTGTTTTGTAACACTGGAGGGGTAGTTGATCCAATTTTACTGTCTTTGGGCTTTGTTTTCTCTTATTACTATTTATTTAGCTTTAATTTGTTCAAATAAATTATTCCTCGCCTTATAATTTCCTCTATCTTTCCGTTTTTGTCTAAAATTAGGGTGCTAAAGAGCTTTACAACACTATTTGCTAGAGATGGTACTTGCCGGAACCAGTGGGAACTGGTTCAATTTAATATTTGTTTTTTAGCTGGCAGCGTTAAAAAAACTTGTTTTTAATTGTCCATTTAACCTAATTATTTTTACTTTTGAGTAAAAAATTAATATTATTTAAAATTTCACCCTAAAAACAAGTTTTGGTTGTGTTTTTCATTTTGCGCGGGAAATTTCTCTCCCGTACAGTGTTGTAAAATTTATGGAAAATCAGGTGAACTGACACCGCTAATCTAGTCAAGACACCACCCAAACATTCCGTTTCAAGAAGTATTTTAGTATATTTAAACCAAATTTAATTGGTATAAAAAGCCAGCGCGGTCACACTAAGTGGACGCGCGTCTCAATTGCCGCCATTTGAAAAAAAACGAAGTAATCGAATCCTGATTTTGCACTTTGTCAGATTCAGGATACAGTCGCTAGCTATGGAGGACATCTTGGGCGTGCTGAGCTCGCTCCCGGACCTGCGGCGCGAGCTGGAGGTGCTGCGCAAGGTAAGGATCCAGGATCAAGAGCCCAAATTCCTGCACAGTCAACATGGCGTCGTATTTTTATTGCCCTTTTAGGCCCACTTTGAGGAGCTGGACCAACTCTTCTACGGCACCGTTCATCCGGAAACGGAGGCCAAGGCGGCGGCGGACACGGCGCCGGTGGCCAAGAGCCAGGAGAACTCCTCGGTGACGCCGCAGCAGACAAAGAAGCGGCCCAAGCGACTCACCTCCCTGGCCGAGGATCAAGATGAGCCCGAGGGTGAGTATTCCAATCAGCAGATGCAGGAGCACCTTCTTAATCCCACCCCCTTCCCTTCCAGCTGCTCCGGACACCACGACCAACACGTCCTCACTCCGCCAGAGCGCTCGGGTCAGCAACTCCCAACTGCTGGCCATCGCCGAGGACGAGCTCAACTCCACGGCCTCGCTGATGCCGCCGCCTCCCATTCCCGCCACGGCGGACACCACCTTAGGCTCCGGACGGCCGCAGCGCGCCGCCAAGCTGAAGAGCGAGAAGCTGCTGAAGGAGGTGCCGCTCAACCGCAAGATGCGGCGGCCCAGCAGCGAGGAGAGCATCAAGATCAAGGTGGAGAGCGAGCAGCGGGTGTCCCAGTTCAACAGCTCTACCAGTGGGAAGCCTGCCGAGGAGGAGAAGGCGGTGGTGGAGCCCGAACCGGAGGCAGTCGTCCCAACAGCAAAGGCGCCGTGAGGAGGATGCCGAGGATCCCAACGCCACGAAGACCCTGCGCGTCAAGATCAAGCGCGAGAAGCTCAGCAACGAGGGATTAGTACCTCCCACCGATGCGAGCACCGTCTCCTCCGCGACCTTGGAGGCTGTTCGTCCCGATGATACGGTGGCCAGCAACACGACGACCAACACCACATCCACGGAGGTCGCCAAGAAGGGGCGCAAGAAGAAGAAAGACGTGGAGAACCATCGACCCATCAAGGTGGAGCGCTTCAGCGATTTGGACAAGGGCTCTCCCGTCTCGTCGCGCACGCGCAAGTGCAGCACGGAGTCGCGACCAAACCAGGAACGCTCCATATACAAGGACGCACTCGAGGGTCCGCCCATTGCAGCTGCTCCGCCGGCTGCCAACGAAACGGTGACGATTTCCAATGCCACCATGGTGCTGGGTCCCGCGCCCACTGGCGACAGTCCCATTGGGATGTCAGCCGGGGATGCCACGTTTGAGGTGCATTCCAACGACAGGAAGGCGCCGCCGATTAAGCAGGACAGCCTGCTCACGGAGGACGAGTCGCTGGAGGAGAAGCTGCCGCCAGCGAAGCTGCTTTCGAGCTTGAAGTCCATTAAGCTGCCTACGCGCACGCATGAGCTTTTCAAGTAAGTAGCTCCTATGCTCTTATATGTGATCTATCTTTAAAGTATTTCTGTTGATCCCACAGCCCACTGCTGCAGAGTCCCGTGAAGCTGCGCGTGGAGGCGTTCGAGAATGCGGCACAGAACAGCATGCGTCCTAAAAGGGGCAAGGAAGCGGTAACTTCACTTTGGTGTTTATGAATGCCTTACAGCCACTTAATCAGTTATTCCCACTCCCCAACAGGGCACGCCGGGAGCGAACAACACTCCCAAGATTGGCAAGCTGCCTGCTCCAACAGTGGGTCGCTTTTTCACGCCCACCCAGTCCAGCAGCGCGCTGCCTTTAAGCTCGGCGCAGCCCAAGAAGGGACCTGCTAGCGCTTCCAAGGCCACCACCCTGATGAAGACTGCTACCGGAACGAACCTCCGGTCCGCCAATTCGACGTCCACGAAGACGCTGTCGCGCGAGAACAGCGGCGACGACTTCCGCAAGGGCCTGCACAATCTCGCCGAGGAGCGCAAGAAGCTGCGCGAGCAGAAGCACCAGCAGGCCGCCCAGCAGCGCGAGGCCAAGGAGCGGGAGCGGGCCGAGCGCATGGCTAAGTTGGCCGCCGAGCGAGCCAAAAAGCAGGAGGAGCGGAAGCGCATTGAGGAGCGCAAGCGGCAGGAGATGGAGGAGCTGCAGCGCAAGATTCGCCAGCAGGAGGAGGCCGAGGCGCTGAAGAAGGCCAAGATGAAGGAGCTGGAGCAGCAGAAACTGCAGCAGCTGACCGGAGCGAAGCCCAAGAAGATGCTGCCGCCGCCGCCGAAGACCAAGTACACGTGGGAGATGCTGCACGAGGACGACTCCACCGACGACGAGGGAAAGGTCACGCACAAGCGCCCGCCGGCGCCCACCTGGAGTCGAAGTAAGATCAGTTGATTTCCCTTAAACCGACATTTAAATATCCTTGTTTTCTAGGCCACGTGAGGGGCGATGCGATCGCCATGCAGAGCCACTGCCCCACGGACATCATCGACAGCTTCTTCTCGGTGGCGCCCACCACACCGGACCTTAAGCAGATATTCCCGAACATCGATCCCAGCCAGCTGAAGCGCAACTCCAGCGTCCTGTGGTCCACGCCGCCGCGCTACTCGGAGCTCCCGAAATACTAGCCATGTAGTCCTGTTCTCTCTTTACCCTACCCTTAAATGCACATGTTTATGATTGAATAAATAAAGTTAATTGTGAAAATTAAAGCGGAGTACCGCTGCCACTCTGACACTAATACCCAGGTGCTCGAGAACTATTAAAGCCGCCAGCGTGCTCAATTAATGGTGGCTGCTTGCCGATTCCATTAGCAAAGCTGCCCAACAATGGAGACGTCGATTCGTGAAAAGTGTGAAAACGCAGAGGAGGGAAGGAAAATAAAACGAAATAAAATAAAAATACAAGAAAAGAAAAGAAAACAAGCCCGGCAAACACAATTTCACTGGTCATGGGGCATGATTTTGTGGCAAGATGAGCAGACGATCGAACAGACTGCCTCGATTGGATTCTCTTTCATCATTTTTCCAACGCTGAGCTCGGTTTTCTTGCAAGCCATTTTCAATTGAAAGCCAAAATCAGCGGAACCAACCTTGGTCATTTGCATAGTAATTGCCGCTGCTTAAAATGAGCTCCGCTGGGAAATGGCCTTCGATCCAGATATGTAGGACTCGTTGGGACAATCTTAATCCGCGATCGCATTAAGGAGCGTGTTCTCGCCAAATTGCCACTTTCAATTGTTATTGTTTCCGTTCAAGTGGCCTATGTCAGTGCCACTAGCTCACCCAAGTCTTTCGAGGCAGAATCTAGCTTTTTGCAGAGCAAGTTGTCAGAAATATAAGTCCATTTGTATGTGGAATTTTGGTTACTCTAGCAAGCAAATTAGAAAAGAAAATATAACAAGAAAACCCTTAAGTGCATACATGAATAAATACCTACATTATTTATAGATTTTAAGAGAGATTTATAGATTAATACTTATAGATGTTTCGATTTTAACAACAAATATAAAAAGATTTCTCATAAATATTTAAAATCTTGCATTTAATAACACAATTTAAATAAGTTTTTGGAAAATATCACATTTCATCCCCTTAATATAAAAGTTCTGCTAAAGATATAATGTTTTGCTCAATATAGGACCCAGGTAACCCCTTTACGCTATGGAACTTCTTTTAAAAGAGAACTTCTTTTAATTCAACTTGTGCTTAAAGTAAATAGGCAAATAAGATTTCTGAAACATAGGTAATTAATTCCGTATAAATGTTTTGGTTGTTATCATAGGCAAAATTGTGAAAAAAATATTGAATAAGAATTGTGAGCTTAAACTAGATATGACTGATCAAAGGTATTAAGCAGGGAACGAAAATAACTGTTATTGTAAATTTTTCATACAAAAAAATAACGCACTTAGAAGGGTCCTAAAAATTTTTTAAATACACCACAATTTTTATTAGCCATTGTAGTTTACAAATCCGTAATGATTTTTATTTTTTGATTTTTATAATAAAACTCAAAAAATAACTGTTATTTTTTGATTTTTATGAATAACAGTTATTCCCTTGACATTTTGAAAAAATGAAATAATTAAAAAAACGTGATACCCGTGCTTTTTATAACTTACTAAAAATTTGTTAAAAAAGGCAACCTCGCATATTTTATACCTATATTTTTTTTAAATTTTGTTTACCCACAAAATCGCCATAAATCAAGTTTGAGTTTTATTTTTGATCACGACGAATAACTGTTATTTGTCAACTTTTATTATAAAACTCAAAAAATAACAGTTATTCTTTGAGTTTTACTTTACAAATCAGAAAATAACTGTTAAAGTGTGATTTTTAAAATAAAACTTATAACAGTTACGTTCCCTGGTATTAAGTCTTTTAAAGTATTCGAGGTAAAATTTTTAAAACTAATATAGATATTATTATTTTCTAATTAAAAAAGATAGTTGAAATGGAACATCTTTGCCAAATACTAGTTTTACTCCCGCATGTGAATGTTTACTCTGAAGAATTGAGTTGAAGACGAGCCAGCGAATCTTCCACTCCCGAATACTCTTCCGAAGAGAGGCCAAGCCAGCGATCGCTGCTCAGGTTTCTCGTTTCTTCGGCTCTCTGCAGAGTCTTCGGCTTTTACCTGCAGTCAGTTTGAGTCGAGCGTTCGAACAGTGCGCACCTGTTGACGGTTTCTTGGTTGCTGAAGGTGAGCGCGGATTGTGGGCCAGAGAATTGAAGAAGCCATCGTCGGGTTATTCGATATCGGGGCTTCGAGTGCGTGCGAGTGTGTGCGTTCGCAGTCGAGTCTATGAAAAGTGAATAACTTAGAGCCACAGGCTGCGCTTGCGTGTGAGTGAGCCGAAGAAAGAAATGAGTGTTTTTTTGCTCCAAGTGAATATGCTAACGTATACCGAATAAATGATATTTGTGCGATGCGATGCGATGCGCGTTTGTGTGTGTAGACAAGCAAAAATATATTGTACATACGAGCCCCAAGGCGGCAGCAACGAAAACTTCAAAAAACTTTCTTTTTTTCGCGCTACCTTTTTGCCTCCGTTGGACTGACTGGCCAAGTTAGTTTTGTCTGCGGCTTTTGTTTACGGTTGCTGTGAAATTGGTTGCAAATTCATAATTTGTCCGCCGTTTCACTCCCAATTAGAGAGCCCCTCCTGAGGCACAGGAATAGAGAAGCAGAATTAATTAGGCTTACATTTTGCCAGCGCATCGCGTATCCGCCAGGTTGCCCCAACCGGATACGTGGTCCGCTGCAACCTGTCTGCCGGCCTACACATGTCCGCTAAATTGCTCTAGGCCAAGTCCACGTCCAAGATCGAGTCGAAGACTGCCCACTCCCGATTCCCAATTCCCGTTTGCTGTTCCAGCACTTGATACTGTTAGTTGTGCCATTTCGGAGCGCACTTGTGCCAATTTTCCAGGGGGCAGCTGTCGCTTGATTTTTGCTTTTCGATTATTTAGAGTTTTGCATTCCGCGCAAGCCGCAAAACCGCATTTCTACTCGGCTACTCGGTTCGGTTTTGGTCCGGTCCGGTCCCAAGCTGGATTATTTGGCTCTGGGTCGGCGAGATCTTCAATTTGGTGTGCCTTTCTTGCAGTTAGTTTAGCTGGAACCAGCTGGTGAAATTTTCCATTATTATCGTTATTTATGTGCAAAATCTAATTGAAAATAACGTGCAACTGCGGGCTGCACGCAAAAAACATCAATCAAAATCTCAACGATTGCAATCGTGTGATTAATGGAAACGCTTTGAGGTGAGTCCGAAAAGGAAAATCAAGAAAATTTATGTACTGAGTCTTGAGTCTTGAGGAGGGGAAATGACAATATCACAGATGTTTTAACGATATAACCATGCGCGGATCCACCAATCGGGTGAAAAATAAATGGAAAACCCCTTACAAAAAAAACCGGTATCCGTCACAGAATATAACAAAGACTTTTGCCAAAACGGACAATCCTAAAGATCTGGGACTTATGCAATATTCGATATCATACTTCAGGCACTCTTATTTTCCCTCTGTCAATATCAACTCCCTTTTTCTTCTTCACCTTTATCCACCTTCACCTTTCTCTGACTCTTTTGCCGGCTTGAAAAACAAAAAACGGTTACGCAACAAGACAAAGCCCCAAAAAAAGTGGCTTATGAAAAATCACATGAGTCATTTAACTGAAGATGATGGAAAGAAATGAAAACTAATTACCGCCGCTGCAACTTCCGTTGGGTGTTGAGGAAAATCCCCGAAAAAGAAAGCAAAGTTGATAAAACCAAAAATTATTCCAATGAAAATGTAAACAAGCGCCAGCGTGGGCGAATCGCTCAATGGAAAAGCACAACAATCCGCTGAAAAATGGAGTCATTTAATGACAGGCCCAGAAAGCAAACAGAAAACTGAAAACCGAAAAGCAAAGACACAACGACTCGCCCACGAAGAAAATGGAGTAGAGTTTGTTGTGGTTTTGCTCTTCTGGCTGCTCACGTAAAACTTTCTATTTCACTGGGATTCTTCAAGCGTACAGAGCGCGGATATTTCAAGGTTCCTTTTCAAAACCGAACCATAAAAGAGCTGCCAAAATATCAGAGACCTGGACTCGAGGCATGACTCAACTGCAGGCGGCATACGACCACCGATCCGGTCTGAGATCTGAGATCACGTAAATACGAGAGTATCTTGCAGAGACAACCTTTACCTTACCTTACCTTTCCTTTCCATTTGCTACCTCCGTTACCGCTGGTTACTGCCGCTCTGGATGCTTTCACTTTCCATCTAATGTCCGGCAATTGCTTCAGTTACTGCGGTCTACTGCGATCCGCAGCTTGTTTTGGCTTCTGATTAGCACGACAGACGACATTGGGTAATCTCGGGCAGCAGGAATCGATTAGGACTGACGACAGATCTCCGATCTGCTCCAGTTGATAACTCCGTGAATTTCACTTTTGCTTTCTGACACCTCAAATTTTTAGCCGACTTTCGCTGCAGCTTGGACATCAATCAAAATTAGCATTTCAATCAGCCGAGTTCAGTTAGCTGCCTGAATGGAACGCTTCGCTTTACGTAACAGCTTAGGGTTTTTCTGAAAGTGTTTTCCTTAGATAGCCGGGTTTATTGACTCACTAGGCCGCTGCTTATGTAAAGGTGGCCATTGTGGAGTACCTACTACTGCCAGTTAATGGGGGTTCGACCCGAGGCTAACTAACATAATGTCCACCACAAACCAGTACAGTTAACTTTTGTGGCACCTCAAGGGGCCGAGTGATTAGATCTCAGGCAGATTCCCAGCGAAAAGTGCGAAAAAGAACTCTGGCAAAACAAAAGACTCAAGACACGAACCTTAGAATTATTTTAAGCTTTTCTAACCAACCTTTCTCCCTCTTTTCAGCTTACAAAAAAACACACACACCCGGTAAAAGCCAAAACATGGATCAATAAAAACAAAGAAATACCGAAAATAAATAACAGAAACCCCTGACAATAAACCTCAAAGAGGTATAAAGAGTGTGGCCTCCGCGGAACTCGTAGTTTATGCAAACATGCGACGAAAGCCACAGAATTTAACACACAATATACCATCGAGTAGAGCCGCAGACAGAGGCGGCGGAGCAACAAAGGGGGGAGGGGGCCGAGGCACCTCCCGGCCGTCAGCAATTTCCAACAATAGAATGCCAAGAGACCATCGACACTTGATGGCCATGGCCGCGTCGACGTTGCCACTGGCTCTTCTCCTGCTCCTCGTTCAAACAACAGGTAAGTCTTGGCCAGAAAGGGGGTTTTGTGGGGGTAAAGGGGCGGGGAACACGACAGTGACATGCCCAACAAAAGAATTTCACATGCATTCAGTTAATAAATTGAACTTTAATTGTGAGGCTGAGGCTGAGGAACTTTCACGGTGTCGAACAAAGTGGGAGGATGAAAGTGGAGATAGCAAGGCCATGATCTTCGCCAGATCTTTGCATAGATCTCTCAATTGATAAACTCCATTGGATTTTGACCCCTAAAAAAATTGCATTGTTCCAAATGGCCTTACCCATTCCAAAAACAACCTATATTGGTTAAGGATTTCCTCCCATAGAATATATTTACCCAAAATATGAAATGTGAAATGCAACGCTGATCGATTTGACGTTATATGGTATCTCACTCTATTTTGAATTGAGAGAATTAGTTATTCTCTTCCGAAGTCAGAGAATCACCAAAAGAGAGAGAAATAGGTATTGTACTCTAAAAACGATATGCCAGAAATTTACCATGCTCATATCGATTTGTCCGCGATGTGTTTTTTTGTGTGTGTAGAATAAGACTATAAAATTTAAAATCAGAATGCATTCTAGTGCATCACTTGAAGAACCCACTTCGTCTTGCATCCAAACTTCCCCTTTTTTTGCTCCAACCAAGCGAATCTCTCGCACTTGTTCTGAATGGATCTTATCTGCAATAATCATGTGTTTTCACCAAGGGTTCTGCTCAAGCGAGCATTTAGTTATTACAAACGCAGATACCTCGAGCAACTTTTTCCACACGTGAGCATAATTTTAATTTTTAATTTGATACATTTCCGAGGAATGTCGGTTCACAAAAAGCTGAAAAATAAGAAAGAATTCGCCCCGACGTGCCAACATGTGATGAAGATGCTCCATGCTCCAGGCAGACTCAGTACGTGATTATTCTTCTCCATTTCCACCGCTCATTTTCGTCTTCTCCTTTTTAGAAAGCTTGCGTTAGCTGCATAATTTATTAGGCGTTACAAAGAATGCAAAGCTGAGGAGAGCCGATGGGTATTCATACGAATAGCTTATGGTATAGTACTCCAAACTGTGCCAAACGTAATGAAGTGTGCTAACTGTACTGCGCCAAAGGTGTTTGCACACCCGCACAAATGCGTTCAATTGTCATTCGGGCACGCTGAGAAGTTTGTTAATTTTCTTTTTTGCCACTGAAATACGGGCTTGACCCACTAAAAATCGAGATATGTCACCCGGAGTCTCGTTCTCGCCGCGTGACACATTTCAAACGGTTTAAAGGCCCCGAAATCTGGGTCGATCGCATCTGCATCTGGGTTTTCTAGCAGCAGTGATCGCATCTCGGTGGCTATGATTCATTGGCTGATGACCACCGAGGGTTGGGTTAGCCTGTGTTGCACAATTGCGATTATTCATACCGGATTCATTGACTCTTGCTTGGGTTTTCTGTTTCGTTTTTCTTTGCCTTTGCTTGGTTCCATTTTGCTTTGTCGCTTACAAAGTGCGTGACGTGCGTGAATCGAAGTTAATTAAAGTTTATTATGACTTGGGCCTGCTGCGTGGTTTATAATCGTTAAGTGACGCTGAAGCTGAGCTTATGCAATATGTGAAAATAAAACCGTCATCCGGCCTTGTAATTGGCCACATAAAAACGAATTGGTATAAAGGAGCCTAAAGAAAATATCATGGATTCCTAACAAGAATCTGCAAAAAAATTTAAGGTTTTTATTGTGAACACATTAATTAGTCAGTAGCTGTGACTTAACAGAAGTTTTTGTTATTATAATAACTCCTATTATACACAGTTAAGATTTGCCTTATAATTTCACAAATAAATGAAAAAAGGCACATTCTTATCGAGAACCACCATGACTGTTGGAAAACTTAACCATAGATATAAGTTTATCGGGAAGTTCAAGTGCATAGTTTTTAATATTTCGTTTTTGGGAAAACAAAGTTGAGGGAAATAGATATTTTACATTATTAGGAATTTTTTGTAAAGTCTTATCAAGCCCAAAAAAACAATATTTAATGTAATAACTTATTACTAATAAGTAGGTAAAGGTCTTCACAAAGCATCTTCATATTTGTTAAGTTATTTGTACAGAATAATTATTAAAAAGGTAAAATAAAAGATAATTAAAAAGCAGTATTACCTTGGTAAACCAGTTCATGTAACTCCATTAATATTTAAAAGAAATTAAATTTTGGAAAATTGTTTACTGTATTTTGAGTGTAGGCAATTGCTTCAACTGCTGTAAAAAAATTGTATTCTTTCAGTGAATAGCTTAGAGACAGATTTGTTGCTTGTTAATGCGCGCTGAGTGCAACTTCCCATGCGAACAGGGCAATTAATTAAGCCCTAACCAGGAGCACACAGTGCAGTGGATTCCGCGGCACCGTCGCTCCCATTTACTTATGCATTCCATCGAAAGCTTCATCCATCCACAATTCTCCTCTCCGCCAGGCAGCCACTCCACTGTAACCGCTTAATTGCACGAATCCGGCCAACTGAGGCGGGCAGCTCTCAGCGGGCTGGAATCAATTAAAGCTAACTGCACTGTTTACTGGGCCATTTGAAGTCGGGCCAAAACCTTTCATGCTGCTAATAAGCCGCATTAGCATGGGGGGAGTGGCGGGTGGGGGCTTCTGCCCGGGGGAATTTACATACGTGGAGTCGGAAAATTGGGTGAAGTGAAAATTATTTTACAGCAAGCTTAATTAAAAGAAAAAACAGATTCTCGGGGCGCCGGACTATTCAGTTATGGCTTAGTGAAACAGAAAAAAGCAGCAGCAGCAGCAGCAGTGCTACGGTTAACAGTTACACCCAGCTAACTAACGGTTTTTTGGGGCTTTCGATACGATATGCGATACACAGAGCGAATTGAAATCTCAATGGGGCATTCGAGACGCTGGAAAAGTGTCAAAGAAAGCGCCATGAGTTGGGCTTTTCGGTTCCCGTATTCCCTATTTTATAGTCTCCAGCTGAGTCAGCGAATCATTCAGCGATCTATCGATGGTTTCGTTGATCGGGTTCGGTTGTGACACTCTAACCCGCTGACTTACTACCGCAACCTGTTGGGTTTTTCGTTTTCATTCCCCTTTGTCTCAGAATTCCCCCCTTCCAGACATCTCTTCTTGCATTCCCAACTGTTAAGCTGATTAAATTTTCAGATTAGCCGCTTCCACAGGCAATTTTCCCCTCACATTTTTCGTTTGCTTTTTATTCTTTTTTGGCACATTTCGGTTACATGGCCCACTTGCCAAGCTCCGGAGAGCGAGAGGAGAAATATAAATAATCAAAAAATTCGCTGCCTGATGGGAAAGAGGAGGAAGAAAGAGGCCGCCGTCGTTGCAGGCTGAGCAGAAATTTATCGCTTGACTTTTTATTGGGTCAAGAGGCAGGTTCGTTCGGCAGGTTTTTATATTCTCTCGATCTCGGCTTGGATTTGTCTCGGCCAGGGAATCTTTGGGGATTCTTGGTGGGCCACCTGCTCACAAACTGGCAATGCCGACGCAATTAATTATGGCATTTTTGAGGCTTTTGAGGCAGGTGAAATGAGTCTGGGATTGTGACAGCTGCAAAGAGGGTCGAAAAAACTGAATTTCCCGACTTGCGTGCAGTGTTGTTCACTTGTTACAGAATTATAACCGAATTACGACCGAAAACGCTTTAAATTCCTGTTTTTGCCATAATTTCTTATTGCTAATTTTCTTCCGAAAAGTAGTATTTTTTCCAAAGGAATAAGTTCTTTAAAATTGAATGTCATACTGCTTTTGGACGACTTTTATGAAAAAATTCCAAAATTTGTAAAAAGAAACTTTTTTTTTATTTTTCCCTTATGTTAAGCTTTTAGTTGGGACATATATTTTAACAAAATTGTGACGAAAAAACCCGCAACAAATCATGAATTTATAATCTTTAAATTGTAACTATTACCAACCCAAAGCTTTTGAAGGCACTATTTAAGTTGATACTAGAACCATTTTCCTATAACCATACAATGCCTGAATCTATTCGGTTTTGCTGACTTGAAAGATGCGTATTTTTTCCTTCTCCACGCAGATATTTTCGAGCGGTTCAAGCTCTTAATCAGCTCACATGCTGATCTCTCATATTCAATTAACTTAAGCGTTTCTCCACCCTGACCGGGGCATTCAATTAGAGCCGAGCACCGGCTGAGCTTCAACTGGGATGCGATTGCCCAATCAAAACACGAAATCGAAGCCGTATCAATAACTGCATACTTTCCCTTTCCCGTGAGAAGAGAAGCGAAGCGGCTCTCGGGTTGGGATGCCCAAAATTGTACAATGAAATTCAGCACATCGAAAGTTGCCAGGCACGATCAGTGATCGCGCATTCAGACGGCCAGACCCATCCACACACCCATGGGCAGGTAAGGCCCAAACTGAACACTGAACCCACAATTTATCTCGTTGTTATTTTCGTTTTTATTTTCGCTGTTCTCCACCGATCTTTTTTAATGGTTGTCCTGGGGCGCTGTGGGCCCAGATTAATTTGCGGTGAGCTGGAGAACAGAAAGGAATGCCGCCGGGTGGGGTGTCTGCAGACGGAGACCCTTACATGTGTCGGCGTTGACAATCAATGGCAATCAATGAAAATACGCTTTTTATGCTCGTTCTGTATGCTTTTTTTGGGAGACCACCTAAAACCGGTTTGCAGTGGAATCTTTTAATCACAGATTTTTTTTGGCATATAATTTTAAATTTAGTGAGTCTAAGGCTTTCATTTGACCAAGAAAAAAAGCGAAGCACCATCAGTTAACTTTTTTGGGGTTTGCCCATGTAACAGGAAATGTTAAAAAAAAGTTCTATCACTATGGACGGCAGTCCATGTAGTGACGAAGCGCACCAGGAGAGTGTGCGAAGGCGACTACTATTATATAGCCGCAAAATTGAAAATCTGCTGTGATAGTCCGATCGTAATGAGTAATACACCAATCGAAAGGTATTGCAAAAACTTAAAGGATTGCATACCAAGACTTT